TGAATCACTCTTGCTGAATCACTCCACGTTCCGAGTACTTTTCACTCCTGAATCCAGAATTATCTCAGGGAGACTATCTTGTTGCCTACAGGGAGTCAGGACAGCATACAACAGGCTTTAGGAATGAAGTGATGGGGAAAAAATGTGTTGACTGTGGTTCTGAACTGACACTAACCTTCAAGTGAACAACTCGAATGCTCAGCTCGCTCGACCATCGCGCCCGCCTCACCCGGTCCTCCGAGCGTCCAAGAGCTCCCGCGGAAATGTCGGAGCAAAACGCCACCTCCGCTCCCTCCTCTGCTTCCACCTCCTCATCCTCCGGGCCCAACGCATCCTCCGGGGTCGCCAGCAGGAACCTCGCACGAAGGCATCGCTCCGTTTGACTTGGCCCACCCCGAACGATGGACCACATGGGTGAGGATCCTCAAGCACTACCTCGCCTGCATGCGGGTCACCGACGCCGAATTGAAGAGGTCCCAGCTCATCTGGCTGTGTGGGATGGACACCCTGCTCCTTTTGCAGAACCTGATCTCACCTAAGGAGGTGGAGGAGGTGAGCTTCGAGGCCCTCATCACGGCTCTCACGGCCCATCTAGCGCCACAGCCAGCTCTGGGTAGAGAACTTCTTGGAGACTTGGAGGGTGGAGCAAGGGAAGGGCATGGTTTGGGGTGGAGAAGAAGCTCAGCCAGGCAAAATGCCATAGAGTCTGCCTTCTGGAGCAGCCATTTTCTCTGGGGGAACTGATGTCTGAAAATCTGAAGACCAGCTGTAATTCCAGGAGATCTCCAGTTACTGCCTGGAGACTGGCAATCCTCCCCCCACACTGGTGACGCACAATGAAAAGTATTCTGCTGGAGGGCCATCAGGAGGAATATGCACAGGTTTCAGTGGTTTATTTTATATGGAAGAGTAGAGGGAGCATAACAGCATAGATCTAAAACATCCAGAAAAGTTGGGATTGTAGTTGTAGGTGTTCAGCCTTCAAGTAACCATTATTGTATGTTTCAAAATGAAGACTATCTAGTTATAGATCTAATAGTTAAAAGACTTCTTAAATATTATGAAACTTATTTTTACTTCTCCTGCATGATCTCACTTGTGCAATATGATTAACATAAAATAAATAGCTTTTGGTATGTTGTTGCACATCCATAAAAGTGGGCAGTAGAATGAGGGCTAGTAAGTCAGTGTTGAGGCTACGCTTGGTTCTTCTGATAAAAACTATGTTGTCTCATGGAGGCAAGAAATCGGGTTAACATAGAATATCTTAATTTTTGCACTTCAAAAGCATACTAATTAACAGTAAAGAAAATACTCGTACCCTTTCTATTTGTTTGTACTCACAGAGATTTCAATTTATTTGTGGGATTTTACATAAATTTTGTTCACCTACACAACTAAAATTAGTCAAAGGAGAACACAGCCCCATGGTCCTGCTGTCTTCTTCAGACTCATGAAAAATCTGCAGTATTTGGCTGCGGTCACACACACTAAAGAATCCACTCCAATGCACTTTCCAACTAGATTTTGGCAGTTCACACAATAAAATCCAGTTGGAAAGTACACTGAAAGTGGATTGAAAGTGGATTATTTCGTCTGTGTGACACAGCCTTTGACTACCTTTAAATATAGAAAACTACTTCCAGATTACTGTCTTCATGAATAAAAACAAACAAACAAACCACACAGCAGCAATTCTGATGTGATTCAACTAATGACTGAAATTAAAAGAGGGCAATTTATGACAAAAAAGACTGTAAAGAAAAAAGGCTCAGGCTCAAACGCAAACTCTGCCAACCTTTGCTACAACAACCAAGTACATTTTCTTTTATGCACTCTGCATTCCACAGGGCCACATGCTGAGGTAATACAACCTCTTTCCAGAGCATGTTTTGGAAACACAGATGGAGTTTTTGACTGCCCATATGGCAAAAACTAGCTATTGCAACTAGACAGCTGCAGGAAATGGGCAACATCAGTTCTAGAACTATTCTTGAACTGTGTGTGTGCATTTTTACATTTTGTAGGAGCTTCTGAAATTTGTTATCACCCACAGACACTTGTTTTTTAAAAAAGTATTTATACATAGAATAAAATAATACCTGTTATTATGATGCATTCCTGACATTAAAAATTAAATCAAGTTTAGAAACATCTATCAGAAGCATGTGAGGATGTATCTTTTGATTGATCAACATAAACTTGGTACTTAAAAAAATTGCTTTAGTTTCTGTTTCTCCTTGAAATATTAGTTTTACTAATAACTTAGTGACAAAGCATTATTGTGTGTTTTTTATATGAGTAAGTACACAATCTGGCCAAATTTAAAATACTTTAAAAATATTTTTTTGTGTGTCAACAATAAATACACAGCTAGAGAAACATGACAATTAACAAAACAGCAGAAAATCAAAACTAAAAAGAGCACTTTTAAATCCCTTACTTTTCAATGTGATAGCAGATTCCTAACTGTACAATTGAAATCGAAGGGACTAGATTTGACTGGATCATGCTTTTACGTATGAACCATGTAAGTATAGAGAATACACCAGAATCCAGGGGTGGATTGGCTTAATGGTCACTGAGAAAGTTTGCCACCGGGGCCATCCCAGCCCCAACCAAGGGGCAGCCCTCACCATAAGGCTGGTCCAGTCTGCCATAAGCCAGTGACTTCCACACAGCACAAGGAATCGGGTCTCCCCACCATGATGCAGGCCAAGGAAAAGATCCACCAGGTCTGGTCCACCTCCCCCGGCATGTGGAGAAGGGTGTGCTCTGCCCAGGTCCCCTGCCCTAAAAGGTGCAGGAAAAGACACATCCAGCCCAGCCTAGCCTTATTTCCTGTGCACAGCATTGTCTTCGCCTCCCTGCCCCAAGCAGCACAGGCAAAAATGTGCCCAGTCCATCCTCCCCCTTCCTGTGCTGTGTGGCATGAAGAAGGCCCAACCTGGCCTCGCCCCCCTGGAGTGGGGGAAGAACACAAGTGCAGCAAAGGACATGCCTGGAGAGGGGGACAGGACCCCATTTAGCCAGAGGTTGGGGCCCCTTTCCAGAGCAGTTTTTTCTCTCATTCTGCTCCTGCAGAATCTAAGGTCCATTGCCAAGAAATGGGGAAATGACAAATATCAGAGTGCTTATCATCTCCCTTTCCCCAATCCTGTAGTATCACTGTACAGCATTACTGTCCAGAAGAAACTGCCTGCATGAGCTGATCTTTCATATTAATCTGGGTAGAGGTGGCAGTTTTTCTGTTGCAGCTCTTATATGATCCACAATTAGGACTGGCATTGCAATATACAGCAGCAAGGATACAACTTATACATTCGGCTGAGAATGCATGGTTGGTCCAAGGTCACGCAGCAAGGTTCCATGGCAAAGCTGGGTCTCCCAGATCCTAGTCAGACATTTTAACCACTGCTCCACACTGGCTGAACACTGGATCTACATTTTTTTTTGAACACTGGATCTACATGGTAAGCCACTGTCTACCACATGACCGACAATAGCTGCCATGTGCATTAGCTCAGCCATAACATGACAGGCGTATGTCGCTCTCAGCAAGTGGTGTAAATAAATATGAATACATTCCATACACTAAGAACAAATATATATCTATGATGCTTATATATCACATATAGAAAGAATAACAAGAAGTAAAAATTAGACTTTTTTGACCTGTTGTTTTATAGTGAGATAATAATGGCTGTTTTAAGAGAAGAAGAGAAGAGATTGGATTTATACCCCGCCCTTCACTCAGAGTCTCAGAGTGGCTTACAATCTCCTTTCCCTCCCCACAACAGACTGGGAGGTAGGTGGGGCTGAGAGAGCTTTTTTGAGAACTGCTCCTGAGAGAACAGCTTCGACAGAACTACAGCTTGCCCAAGGTCATCCAACAGCTGCAAGCGGAGGAGTGGGGGAATCAAACCCGGTTCTCCCAGATTAGAGTCCACGCACTTAGCCACTACACCAAACTGGCTCTTTTAATATCCTGCTTTTGTACACTTTAACGTTTTTTTAAATCCAGCACATGAGAATGTCTTCTTTAGAATGCTAAGAAATCTCTCTTCTTCTTATAACAATAAAATATTACAAACAGATGATTCAGAAAGTCACCTAAGATCAAGTTCACATGTAGAAAGAGAGCTACTGAGCCCAAAGGTGTTGCCAGCAGTACTACACACAATTTTTTTCCCCTTTATCAGCAAGCCTATCTGGGACAAATGCAAAGAATGTATGCAAGATGCACTGATACTGTGGAATCCTGCCTGGAGCTGATGTTTGAACTAAACCTTTTGGAAGGACCCTCTCCTATGCATGTTTGATGGTTCCCTGGGAATCTTATCTCACTTTAAGGTAATGGCTGATTGTTTCACTGGCACTGCTTGGGATGAGGTGGGTTAGAAATTCAAATAATAACAATATGCGCATAGTAAGCAATGGCCCTCTCCCAAGAAAATGCATTTTTACAACCACGGAGAGGAGGATAATAATTTTTGAAGTCAAAAGATTTGACAGCCTGCTAACTCTGTCTGCGCCTTTGGAAAACTGTGCACCTTTGTCAATAAATGGCTTTCTCCCCCCCCCCACCACCACCATTCACCCATTAGATCTCAGCAGGTAATCTCGAGTCGAAGCTGATCTTGGTTAGCAAACAAGCTTGATCTTTAAACCGAGACCTTTGGCCACGTCCGCTCCCCCCCCCCCCCCCCCCAGCAACTCCAGCCAAGGGCCCCAGCCGCGACCACCCCAGCAGAGAGACTTCCCTCCTCGGCGGAGCCAGACAGAAGCTCCATATCGCACAGCCGCAGGGGAACAGATGGCCCAGCAGAGAACAAGAACGGCGGGGAGGAAGGAACCCCCCCCCCCCCAGAAAAGGTGCCTCGAACCCTCCCAGCCGTCCGCACCCGCGGCCAGCCCGCCGAAGGCTGGAGCGCCCCCTCCGGAGCCAGCGCCCGCCCGCCCGCCGCGGAAGCCCTGCGCCCGCTCGGCTGGCGCTTTACCTGAGGAGCGACCGGCTCGGAGGGACCTCCGGCGCGCAGCCCTGCTCCCCTCGGGAGGGAGTGTACGAGTGGTAGGCTGTGAGCACCACGCTGCCCGAGTCGTTGACCTCCATCCTGCGAGGCGCGTGTCTTGCCCCGCCGCTGCCTGCACGAAGGGCTCACAGAAGCCCAGGCATGGCCCCCGCCGGCCAAGCGCCCCAGGCTCCCCGGCCGACTGGGCAGGCGAGGCGGCGCTCTGCCTCCTGCCAGAGGAGCGGCATTAGCATAGGTCGCCACACGCCGCCCCCCCCCGCGCGCGCACGCGCACGCGCGCGCGCTCGCAGGAGGAGGACGTCGGGGACAGGAGAAACCTGAGGAGGCGAAGCCTTCCTGGCACACGAGCGCGGCCGGCGGCGGAATCCCACGCGCCGCTTTGTAGGTTTCCCCTCCAAGAACGAGCTCCAAGAAGAATCTCTCTTGCGCCACAGAGAAGTAGAGAAACGGACACGGGCCCCTTTCTCCAAGCTCAGCAATGATCTGAGAAGAACCCGGGGCGAAACAGAAATGGCCAGAAGCGGACTTGACTCAAGAATGTGGAACTGAGTGAATTGTGGGCGCCAAAAGAGTGCGTGCGACCCTTTTCATTTCGGGCAGCAAAGTGGCTAAGGCCGGTAGAGAGGAAGCTTCTGCCACAAATTCAAAATCTTGCAGACTTTCAAAAACTCACTTTGAGACTATCAAATGTTTTAAAATTCTGCATTTGATCCTGAAGGATCCTGTACAAGCAAAAATATATATATATTGGCGATGAATTTTAAAGCCCCCTCCCCCAAGCAATCAGTCCAATAGCATGCACAACTGGGAATGCTGAGCAGAATTCAAATCAGGAAGGAACACAACATTGAACAAGCAATTTCAAATTAGGCTAATTTGTTTGAGACTATTTCCTCAGTTCTATTTGACATATCACTTGACATTCCATTCAGTCCTGTTCTTACATCAAGATGGCTTCAAGAAAAGTGCTCACTAAATCCAGCAGGTTGGGCAATATTCTGTGCTAAATCAGCAGCACGTCAAGAATATGCAAACAGACTGTGAAGAGCTGTTGTGGGCAAACATAAGTGACACATAATCCATACAAGGTAGGAGGTGTTGTGATTCTGGGCTAAAGCTGATTTGAGAAGAGATATGCAACCTCTTCTGAATGGAGTTATCGGAGCTCCCCTGAAGGATCACAGATTGAGTAAACTCCTGAATCCACTACTGCTGCTTGGGGAAACAGGTTATGGAGATGGACGGAACTGTTTTTACCTGTTTAAACTGGTTTACTAACTGTTCCGGGAGAAAGCAGACCTTTCCACAGTTTGATAATATCCAGATTACTGTAAAACACTATGTAAGGCTATCTTAGAAGAATGTTTGGAATTTCAGAATGTTTGGAATCTGGTTGCAGGTTCTCAATTAGGATCTACCATGATGAACAGATCATTCTAGTACTATGTCAACTGCATGGATTTCCTACTTGCAAATGGGCCAATTCAAAATTCTGATTTCACTTTTAACTTACTTTGGGACTTGGAACCTCTCACCTGCCTGAGCCTTGAGATGAGTTCACAGTGTCCTGCTTCATGAGCTCAAACTTTCAGAAGTGGGATATGAAACAAACAGGACAGAGTCGTTTTGTTTGCTGTCTTCAGGCTATGGAAATTTTTTGCCTTGTGTGATCACCTGGCGTGATCATCTGGCCTATCCTTCTGGTGTTCTGTTGGACCTCATATATTCTGGAGGGCCTGTGGAACTGGGTGTTTTCCTGCACTGATGCATTTGTTTTACCTACTGCAGCAGCTTTTAAATATTATTTGTTTTGTTGATGCTACTTTTTATGTTTAAAAATATGTTTGTTTTATGTTGCTGAAGCAACTTTTTAAAAATCTGCACAGCCAATCAGCTCTCCAGTGGCCAGTCAGAAAACCTGCAGGGCAACACCTGGCCCCTTCTACTTCTGAGGACACTTAGGAGGTGCCAGATAAGAAGTCATCTAGCACCATGGAACCCATGGATACCACGTTGGGGACTCCTGCCATATTGTTCATTACTGGCATGTCATACTCATCTCTCTATATAATAATTGTCCTTTGGTGGTGGCACGTTGCTGAACATTCCACACGTTCCCAAATCAGTAGGCTCCCTGATGTGTCACTCAGAAACTGTCCCTATCCACTGGCTGCATTGTCTGAGTCCCGCCTCCAATGTTCTAAACAGTTTGCTGTTCCTCTCCCCCCATAGCCAGTCGGAACACAGAGGCCATTTGCTGATTGGCCTTTGCCTCTAACATTCTAAACAGTTTGCTGTTGGGAGCCATTGAAGGGGTCCTGAGGTAAAATACATATCCCAATCTTCCTGTGAATGGTCACTGGAGTTGCCAGTCTCCCTGTGGGGCCTGGAGAAATCACCATGTTCCCCAGCCACAGCACATCATTTACCCTAAAGAAAGTTTCCCAGCTATTACAACTGATCTCCAGATGACCAAGATCAGTTATCCTGGAGACAATGGCTACATTGGACAGTGGACTCTATGGCATTATACCCTGCTGAAGTCCCTCCACACCCCAAACCCTGCCCTCCACAGGCTCTACCCCTCAAATATACAGGTATTTCCCAACCCAGAGTTAGCAACTATATAATTGGCTATGGAACCACTTTCCAGACCCTTGGAATCCAGAAAACATGGCACAGGAGGAAGTGCTTTTCTACCTTAGCTGTGACTGCATAGACCCAAATTAACATAAGTCAACCTCCAGGCAGCACCTGGAGATCTCCAGCTATTAAAACTGATGTCCAGATGACCAAGATCATGGCTGCTTTGGGCAGTGGACTCTATGGCATTATACCTGCTGAGGTCCCTCCATACCCGAAATCCTGCCCTCCACAGGCTCTTCCATTCAAATCTACAGGTATTTCCCAACCCAGAGTTGGCAACCGTGTAATTGGCTATGGTACCACTTTCCAGACCCTTGGAGCCCAGAAAACATGGCATAGGAGGAGGTGCTTTTCTACCTTAGCTGCCACTGCATAACACCCCCCTCCCCCCCAGAAAAATAAGTCAGAGGTGGAGGGAACCATACCTGTTACCATGAGGCTGTCCTCCCATACTACCCAGTTGGGGCAGCAAATTGACTTCAGACAGCCCTACTTTATATCTAAGCAGAAGGAAATAAGCATGGCTTGCCTCCCTCTATTTTCCCCTTCCCTCTGCCACCCCACCAGCCACAGTCGGGACACTCATCTGGAGCTTCCTTCTAGAGCTCATTGTATTTCTTCCCGCAACGAACCTTACTGCTAGTCTCATATATACTTCTGTGAACATGTAGGTTCATTCAACTATCATGTCCAGTGTTCCCTCTAAGCTGAGTTAGTGTGAGCTAGCTCAGTTTTTTAGCCTCCGGCTCACACATTTTTGTCTCAGCTCAGGGAGGAGGGCTCCAGAGCAAACTAATTTATGCAGCAGCCAAATTGCTGGCTCACAACTTTAATGCCAGTAGCTCAAAAAGGAGAATTTTTGCTCACAAGACTCCACAGCTTAGAGGGAACATTGATCATGTCTGTTATGAGAGATGGTAAGAGACTTTCCCTCTGCACCCTAATTATTCCAGATTTCTATACCTCTTTTCAACTGTCTTGTAAAACCGGAAATACCTTTGACTTTTTGCTTTTCTTCTCAAAAAAGATGCTCTAGTCTAGTCAAGGATCATTTTAGTTACTGTACCTTTTCTAGCTCTACAACATCCTTTATGAAAGAGCAGTCTGAACACTATGAACTTTCCACCATGACCCCAGAATCTGTTTCCAAGGTGGACACAGCTTGTTTAGTCTCCATCGGCATACAATGATTTTTTAAAATTCCACTGCAGTTATATTAAGTCTACCTGCCAACTGGTAGCCCTTCAGAACTCATTGCAGTTCACTTGAAATTCCACCATCCTGAATAATTTATGTTTACAGATTTGGTTAGTTTACTGGTTATTAGCATGATAAATAAAATTAAAAAATCAGAATTTGGGGGACTTGGGTTAGATGGAAAGTTGGGGGGCTTGGTGGTAAGTCAGGAGGCTGGGCCCCAAGAGGTCCCATTGTAGCTATGAGTCTGCTTGCCCCAGAGTTGTATGGCTTGGAGAGGGCATTTAAATGCCTTTCTCCCCTCCGTTGGAAACAATGGAGCATGGGGGACACCTACTTTTGGGGCCCATAGAATTAGGCCCCCTAGTCTAATCTTTTTGAAACTTGGGTGTGTTTTTTTTTAAGAGGAACACTGACAGCTATGCTGCAAATTTGTTGCCTCCATCTCAAAAAACAGTTGTCCCCCACCCCCGAGCCCCAGATTCTGTAACGGTCCCCATAAGGTATAATGGAGCTGGAAAAAATTGGGTTTCTCTAATATTTACTATATCCAAATACCAAACTAGTAGTGAGATTTGAGAATATCAGAAAATATAGATATTTTTGGGTTCAATATACCCAAACCCAAAAATACAGGGTTGGGGTTTTTTTGCACACCCCTATTAGGAAGTGGACAGCAAATGTTCATGTCTAGTTCATTTTAATGTGATATGGCCTTATTCCACATCTCTTGATGTGAGCCATGTTCTTCTATTGTAATTCATATGTTCATGGTACTATGCTGATGGACTATTGGACATAGTTCCATTCTTTAGCCAACCTAGTCACATCTGACTGTTGTGCCCTTCAGTATCTATTTGGAAGAGTATTCATCTTTTGAAAATCAATATTTTATTTTATTAAATCAATTTTTAAGAGAAAATAAATCTTGCATAACAGAACTATAAGATTAGAGCTAAATAATGACTAATTATATTGATTTTACCAAGACATATCATATACTTTGTTATTTCAAAAGATCACACATAAATTTAATTAGAAATAAAACTGGTTTATTTGTTTTCTTTTTCTAGTATGCAAAACTTTATTTTAGTCATTGCACCTTGTGACATCCCTTATCCACTCACACAGACTGCTGTCACCCCCTACAACCTTTCTTATTCAGGTTATGGATTATACATAGGTCAGGATGTCACACTCACCACACTTCTTGTCTCTTTTAAAATCTACAGAGAGACATGACCATATCACACACACCAGGTCCTCTCTCCCACTCCCAGAGACCTCCACAGACAGGGTACCTCAGACCCCTTTAATAATAAGCCCTCACTCATACAGAGGTATTGGGGTTAGGTCTCAAACACTGTTCCAATCACTCACTGCCACCATTGATTC